ATATATATATATATATATATATGTGTGTGTGTGTGTGTGTGTGTGTGTGTGTGTGTGTGTGTGTGTGTGTGTGTGTGTGTGTGTGTGTGTGTGTGTGTGTGTGTGTGTGTGTGTGTGTGTGTGTGTGTGTGTGTGTGTGTGTGTGTGTATATATGTGTGTGTATATATGTGTGTGTGTATATATATTATATGTTTCCCAAATGATGTTTAACAGCAAGGAAATTTTCACAGCATGTCAGGCACAGGGGGGCTAATAATTCTGACTTCAACTGTATTTCATATTCACATATTCTTTCATAAACTGCAGTTATTATCTATTAATGTGCTCTTTTGTTATCTATCAATGTTTGTTTTTCCATTTTGTCTTTTGAATGTCCCACGGTTCCTTTGTGAAGTGTGTTGCTTTTGGCTGAGATCTGGGTTTGGTAGTGCTGATTATGGGTTGCAGAGACCTGTTAAAGTGCTGTTGTGTTGTTACCCATCGGCAATACTGGCTCATGTGCATGCAGATTTTGTTTCAGATGTACTATTAAGCAAACAATGAATTGTTCATTGCTTTTCCCCTAGGTACACACTCATCTGAGGAGGAGCGCTGTTGTTTGGAGAATCAGCTGGAGAATTATGAGTGGCAGCTAAAGATCCTACATGCCGTTTTGACGGCTTCAGGAGACCAAGAGAGAGAGCAACTCCTCAAGGACCATCCTGGAGACATCTGCACTTTAGTCCACAGCATTACAGAGAAGGTACTTTTCAGTAATGTACTGTTTGTCAAATTACCCTATCTGTTTATTACTGTTTATTGTTAATTATATTGCATCGTTCCAAAATATAAAGTCAAAGCATAATGATTTAACTTCAGCTCTGTGAATTCTTTTAAAGGGTTAGTTCACACACAAACAATTAATTATTCACTCTTATGTCATTCCAATCCCCTGACACCTTCGCAGTCTTCGGAACACAAATGAAGATAGTTTAGATAAAATCTGAGAGCTCTTTGACGCTCCAGAGAGCAATGGTCCAGACTCATTCAAAATCCAGAAAGGTACCAAACAACATCCTCAAAACAGACCATGTGCCTTCAGGGGTCTGTTCTTCGTACCTCGCTTAAATGATCTAAGATGATTTGGCAGATCCTGGATCTTTTAATCTTGATAACTGATCTCTCGCTAATTTGGTTCTTCAAACAAGTTCGTGAATCAGATTAGAATGTCTGGATAAACTGATCTGAGATCGCTGCGTGTGTTGTGAAGGACAGATCTATCTATCCTTAAAATCATGATCAGCAATGCAACGATTGGCTGACGGCACAGCAGCGTAATGACATCATCTGATTAATATTCAATTATCCATGTGAGCAAAATTACATCAAATTAGCAGTAAACGGCTTGTTAAATATGACATGCAATAACCTTCCACATTTGTTGTGAGCTGCAGGCTTTCCACTTTCATGTGTCAAGAGTACTCATCATGTATTTCAATGCATATCAGTGCTTTTGTGAAGCATCAAATCACCGGCATAACTATCAAAACATGTTTATGACTGCTGAAATGTATTATTGCTTTAAAAAAAAGTCACATATTGTGCATTTCTATTACACAATTTGTACTAAAGCGATCTAAAAAGTTCATATCAATAAGTTTTCTCTTTGCACCACCAGGTGGCATTCTTTGTACTTTCATTTCGAGGGTGCAGATTGCATACGTTTTATTTATAAGTATAACTTAATTTATTTTATTAATTACTATAACTTTATATATATATATATATATATATATATATATATAGTTAAAAAATATGTACCATTTTCCCAAGTGTATATAACTACTACTGTAAGAAAATATCAGAATTCGGAACATACTTTCTGTATTATCTTTGCTTGAACTAAGCCGATCTAATCCTGTTTATATGAATTAAACCTGCTTCCGATCAGGTTTGAGCTAGCAGAACTGTTGCTATGACAACAACTCTCAGATCAGCTTTGAAGAACGAAACGATCCTGGATCATGTCAAATCGTCAATATCCAAATCCAGCTAATTGAGTAATCCACGTACGAAGAACGGACCCCAGTACTTCAATCAGAATATTATCAAGCTAAGAGAACACGTTTGTGCACACATAAAACAAAAACAACCACTATATTCAAAACTTTCTTCTTCTCAGTGTCAGTATAGGGAGCATGTTTATGTATTAAGCTTGAATGTGTATAAATCAAATGTGCCTGTGCATTGTTTCAAACAGTAAACACTAATCCATTAGATTATATGTCACTGCATGATGCTTATGAGTGTGAAAATGCACTATACTGAATGAATTTGAAATGGGTCTTTTTTAAAGCTTTAGATACAAGTTTTCTCAGATTTATTTAAATAATCAGGGTGTCCACGGGTCTTTAAAAAGTCCTTAATTCTATAGTATAAAAATAAGGACTTAATTAGTCTTAAAATAACTTGAATTCATGTTTAAGGTCTTAAACATGCAATTAAACTAAACCTGTAAGATTTTGTTTCTGTTTTGAAATCTGCTTAAATCTCTTTGTCTATCCTCATGCTGAAAAACATGGCTAATTAAATCCATTTATAGTCTTTGATGGAACCCAGTAAAATACATGCTCGCAGAGATTTTGTTTGCGTAATTAATGTTCGATGGGATTTTTCTCATGTAAAAACAAAGTTTACGGGGATTTTGCTCTGTAGAAGCTTATAACAGCTGCGTCAACCCATACATTAACAAGTGAAGAACTAGAGATGCACCGATTGACCAACCAAAGACCGAAATTTGCCTTTATTTTAATTTGTTTTATTTTATTTATTTACTCGCTTGGCTGGTGACCAGCGCACAATGTTGTCATACAGATCCTGTAGACACTCTGAGCTGCATGTAACTTGTCATTAGTACTGAAAATTTCTATTGTGAAAGTGCCACTATGTAATTGATATAATATGCCGTAAAATGCAGTTCAATTTATTTATTTTTTGTTCATGTAAACATCAGTTTTAATTTAAAAAGAGAAAACATAAGTCACATTTGCCAGCAAATGCTTTACCAGAACTCCATCAAACAAAATCAGAAAACAGGCATCTAAAAAAAATAAATAAAAGCTATATATATAATATTTATATTTGTTAATAGGCATAAGTTTTTGTTTTATTAGTGTTGGTAATGCAGTTTGGGAGTACTGATGTAAAATGTTATTATGATTTTTGATTATTATTGTAATTATTAATATTATTAATGATGTTTTTTTTTTTTTTTTACACTTAATGTTTAATTAACAGTGTTAAGTTAGGTCATTAGTTGTGTTGCATGTTTTTTATTCTGTACTATAAAATTGGTCTTCAATTTAATTCAATATGGTATTTAAAAAGTCTTAATTATAACTCTTAGAAACCTGCAGAGTCCCTGATATGTCTTGCTTATATTTTTGAAGTTTTAAAATAAAAAATAAAATTAAGCAATCTAAAAGGATCTTGTATGTGAGTGCAGAACAGAGATGGTCTAAACTAAAACAAAACAAAGAAAATGTGATTTCTCGCTGGTCGACGGTACATTCCTAGTACTCTTCATAGAAAAGATCTTTTCTTTTTTCATCTTGTGAATGGAGCTTATATCAAGTACATGTAGCTTCATGTAACCCTTCAAGAAAGCCAAGTATTCTGCTCCCAGATTATGTCAGCAGGTTATACATTATGGAGCTGTCAGCAGTAATAAACAGGACATGCTTTTCTATTACAATATAATTGGGAATTTTGAGGATTGTGTGCACAGTTGTGGTGATTGTCTATTTAGATTTGGGCGTGCGTGCTGTGGTACATCTGTCCTTGTGTTAACCTCTGACCAACAAAACTAAACCTGTTTGCAGAGAGGGATGTTATTCATTGCCCTGTAAAGAGGGTAGGTTTGTGTTTTTAAACGCACTAGAGCACTGCTTGTTTTAACAAGGGAGAGCAAATGATGCTGTTTTTTTACCTTTCCCTAAGAGCTTATTGGTAGTCTAGAACTTTGTAAACTCAATCATTATATAAAGTTGTCACTATTAAACTAGTTGATTTGAAGTGATAGTTCACCCCAAAATTTAAAAGCATCCACTTGATAAGTGTGATGACATGTGAAGCGGCTTCCGGGTCCCATCGCTTTATGTAGAAAAACAGTATTACATACGTCATGACTTAACAAGCGGATTCACCATTTGTTTTTTTTTAAGGGGTTGAAAAATGTTGAATAATTTTTGTAAGATTGATTTTCATAGAAGGAAGATGTGCGATTTCACGGTTATCACAATAATTATGCATTTATAAATTTTAAAGCACTACTAGTTTAGAAAATCTCTTGAAAAACTCCTTATAATTTTAAGTGTTGTTTATTGCTGCTTTGTAACTAAATAATACAGCACAATATGATAATAAAACACAAACAATAGTCAATTTCTCTTTGGACTTAAAATTAAGTGAAAAAGCTTGTGGTATTTAAACAAAAGTAATAATTTTACCCTGAAAAAATGACAAACGAATGAATAAATAAAAAAATATAATTGTCTTATGTAAATCTAAGCTATATTTAAATCTAAGCTAAGTATTTCCCTTTTAAAGACAACAAATGTAGTCAAAGGCTGCTTATCCGCTCTCTGAAAGGCACTTCTGACTATATTTTGTACTTTTTTTTATTCCTTTTTAATTTTTTTTCTCTTTGAACTAGAAATGTGTAGATTTCAAACAAAGTACGTAGCTGACTGGTTAGTTTTTGTCACGTGACTCGCAGTGCGCTCACATAATTTTTTTTTCAATTAAGTGCGCTTGGAAAGTGGGAGAGCAGCGCACTGCTTGTGCACGCAAAAGATATAATATGTAAACGGTCTTTAGTATAAAGTGCTAGTAAAAATCAGCTTTTCATCCAGTGTGCATCATATTTGGTACAAGCTCGAACTTTAAACTAGCACACAGTTGGCATAACTTTGTTTCATTGCAGGTGTTTAGTTTTGTGCAAAAACGTGGAGTCAAGAAGCCTTGACGATTAATTAACTGTACCGAATTAAAGCACATTTAATAGTGAAATTGGTTTATCGTTGCGTTACTGCTTGTGAAACTGTATTTATATTGCAATGATAATCGAAGAAAAAAAATACCGCAATACCACTGTTAGAAATTTTTTTAAAGACTTCTGGGATCATTTCGAACCAATTATTGAAGTGAAAAAGAAAACCTAGTTGCATTATTTGCAATAAACATTTTTTCCGTGTCTTGCGGTGTATTTTTTATGCTCTTTTAAGTTTGCTGTGGAAATAGCTTTTGGTGCAAATATTGTTTGGTCTTGTGTTAACAGGTGAAGACTGAGATTAGTGCAGATCTGAACGATCTTCATGAACAACAAATGAGGAGCGTCTCAGAACAACATCAGAGTGAGACTGAAGGTCAGACAACAGCAATACTAAACAGCAACTGCTGCCATATAATGTAAAGTGCCAAGTCCAGCTTTGGTAAATGACATTAATTGAATGATATTTAAATCTGCAGAGCTACAGCGATTGCACAGCGAGGAGAAGAATGTTTTAAATGAGTCTTACGCTGCAGCCGAGGAAGCTCTGAAGGTGAAGCAAGCGATTTGTAACATCACCGCTCTGATTTGTCTAATTACATGTGATTAAAGACTGATCTAATATACTCCAGTCATGGCAGACTTGACTTTGAAGTGACTGGTCTGAACTTTCTGTAAACTCAGGATCAGATTGAAGACTTGACGTCAGAGCTGAAGCTGTTCAACGAGTTAAAACGTCGAGCAGAGGCGTCCACGCTCAAGAGAGATCTTCAGAGGAATATTGAGGTTTGTTTTTGGAATGGTGCACTGTTAATTAAGTAGGTTTCAGATATTCACATGCCTCTATGTTTTCGTTTCAGACTCATGGCAGCCCTGGTGAATTTTGGGAGCAGGAGCAGGAGAGCCTGTTATTTGTAATTGAAATGAAACGTCAGAATTTGCAAGACCAGGGGAACAAGCTGCTGCAGATGGAAGCACTGGTACAACATGTTTTGTAATCACTACAAACGTAGTCCAGTCGCTTCTCATATATTGGTTTAGCCATTAATTAAAGTGTTTTATCTGGGTGTCCTATGGGTTGTTGATAAAGTTGATAAATTAATTTAGAGAAATTGAAGGCCCTTAAAAAGTACTAAAAGTCTTAAATGCTGTTTTACATGGTATTCAATTTTGCATAATCCAATGAGAATACAATGTATAGTCATTTTCTAAAGTTTGCCTGAATTTAATCTGTGAATATTGGGATGCTGTGTAGTTTATGAAGTCTATAAAATTCAGCTTTATTTACTAAAAAGTGACCAAGGAGGCTTTGTTATTCCTGCTGTCTTATAAATGCCACTAGCTGACATTTGCATTTTTCTGTATTAAATGAGTAATGTTTTAGTTTAGGATTAGTTTCTTACAATTGGAAGTTAGTAAATATAGCGCAACTTCTGAAACCTAAAGTAGCAATGAGGTCTTGGATGAAAAAAGTATGAAATGTATGCATTTAAAAAAAGGTCCTAAAAGTTATTGAATTTCTCCATATCCTGTTTAAAGAGCAGAATTAAAAAAAAAAAAAAAAAATTTTGAGCCCCCTGTCTAACATTACATTTGGTTACTTTCACATTGTCAAACATGTTTATTCTCTCTTACTGGAAGAGAAATTCTGTACCAAAGTAAACAGGCGTGCTTTATTTGTTTATTCATGTTGTTTATTTGAATGTGGCAAATTGACCTATTTGTTTGCAAAATGAAATGGCAACTCTGGCTCATGAGAAAAATGTGTTTATGGCAACATTTTAGCAAAAATGATATAGCACTGATGCTTGTAAGCAGGGCTGCACAAAATTGATGATTATCAAACCATTAAATGATTATGACTAATCTACTGATGTAAAAATAATCACAATTTCTGTCAGGTTTTAAATTTAGATTGAATATTCATTCAGTGGGTTGACATTCTATTTTCAAATATGAGATTTGAATATTCCTTTTTTTTCTTTTTTAAATAGTAATAATAACAATAACTTATTTCTTTCTACATTAGTAAACACTTCATGTGGTGCAAACAAACGGTTCTATTTTGCAGTATAACTCTTATATTGAACATTTACTGAACACCTGTAATTATTTGAACATATTGAGCTGAAAAATTATTATTCTAATTCTGGACTTGTATATTATAATTATTATCATATTTTTATATATTTTTTAACTAGTAATCAACCACATGATTCTAGTTCAAAATGACTGAGATTGGACTTTTATTTCCTCTGGTGTTTTTGTTTCAGCTGAAACTGCAGCAATTGTTTATATTTTTGCAAACAAGTTTGATGAGCATTTATCTTCCCAGCCATACTGAAATGTGCCTCTAGTTCCCAACTGAGGCCAAAAGCTTTTTTTAACCCTCCACATCAGGATTTTTAGTAAGCTACGGATACTTGTTCTCTGTGATTCTCAGGTGGAGAAGAATCTGTCGTTGGAGGATCAGCTCCTGCAGGCTCTCCAGCAGAACGAGGACTTCAGAGTCCGAATAGAAAATTACCAAAGCCTCATACAGTATGTCATCCTCTCAAAAAACCAAACGCTGTGCTAACAAAACATTCTTGTGCTTTGTGCAGCATGACATGTTTTAGGGAAGGAATATCGGTTTGGGCAACTGATGGCATGCGTGCGTGTGCATTTCTGTGTGTGTGTGTGTGTGTGTGTGTTAATTAAGAATTTTATGAAGACTCCCTTTGGCTTATAATATATTTTTCCCGTTCTCATTATTATTTTAAAGATAAAATGGCATAAATACAGACATTTATCAGTAATATATTATTGCATATATTTTATGATAACAAATTTGAGATCAAAATGTGTACAAACAAACATTCTGCAAAGGATTGATATGTCGTATTTAACACCTTCTTTATAGTGTTTTTTTTTTCTTCCCCAAAAAATGCATATATGGATAATACACTAGATCTGAGTAGCTTACAGCAAGTTGAAATACTAAAGTTATTCTTAGGTTTACTTTAATAAATGCTGTAGTAGGTTTCTTAGTAATAAGCACTTCTAATACTAAAGGACTTTTTACTGGCTAAAATGTGTCAACTATTAATTCAATAATATAATATGTATGTATATGTATGTTAAAGACACTTGTTAGTGTCTTATTCTCTAGGTTTTTATTTAATTACCAGCTTTCCTGTTGTAGTTGAACGTGTGTAAAACTGCTTAAACCTCAAATGTTTGTATCTGGCGTCACCTGGTGGTACAGATGCTTTATGAACATTTTACTTACTATTTAGAGCAGGGGTGCTTACCCCTATTCCTGGAGATCTACCTCCCTGCAGATTTCAGATCCAACCCAAATCAAACACACCTGCTTGTGATTATCAAGTGCTGCTTCAGGTGCTAATTAATTAGTGCATGTGTGTTTGATCAGGGTTGGAGCTGAAATCTGCAGGATCTTCCTCCAGGAACAGGGTTGAGCACCCCTGACTTAAAGGATTACCCAACGAGTAAAAACTGTAATTTTGGTAGCAGTTTAGTTTGTCATAAATTATGCTATTAACTGCTGACTTATAACCTGCCTATTATTAAATTATTATGCGTTGATTAGTAGGTAATGTATGAAAGTGTGATCTTATTCTACATTCCCAATCCTTCCCTAAACCCAGCTTTTACCTTACTTTTAACAAACAGCTAATTAGTAGTTTATTATGCTAGTAGTGTTAGTTAATGAATTATTAATGATATGAATTGTGACTTAAAGTGTTGCCAATTTTGATAACTCTGTATGTATGTGGCTTATCATACATAAACATTTGGTAACACTAGTCCAATTCCCACTATTAACTACTGGTCAATTACCTGCTTAATAATACAATATTAGCACTTAAGTATAACCTTATGCAACATCCCTAAACCCTATATCTTGATGACTATTAATAAATAGCAAATTAGTAGTTTATTAAGCTCAGTTCATCGTACTTAGTTACTGGTTTGATTATGATGAGAATTGTACTTTATTATAAACTGGCCAAAACACTTAATACAAATATTTTTGGCTTTTCATTCTCTTTTAGACAACTGTCCAAAGAGCAGAATGACATGCAGGAGGTGCTGGAGAAACAGTCCCTGCAGAATCAGAAGCTCATCCAGGAGAAAGAGGAGCTGCTGTTTAAACTGCTGCACCGCAGAGACTCCTGCTCCGCCTTCCACCTGCCCTCAGTCATTCCCACACAAGTGTCTCCCAGCTGACTAAAGCCTTAACCCACTGTATCACTGTATCCTGACCCGTGCCTTCTGTTTTAAATGCCAGTTATTTTGGAGTGTTGTGAACATGCAGTGAAGCTAAAAAGGACTTACTCATTGCATTTATAATTTTAACTGGCAAAACTGTATTTTTGTACATAACATTGTATTTTAAGAGATGTTGCATATCTTTTTTTTTATTGAGTTTTGAATTAGCTGTGGAGCTATTCATTAGTTGTTAGTGCGAAGGGGGCAGTTTACCCAAAAATGAACATTTGATGCTAATTTAATCACTGTCAGGCCAGATGTCAATGACTTTAGATCATTAAAGATTTTTAGCTGAAACTTTGGGTTTTTTTTTTTCGGGATTTGTGAAATGCAAGTCAGTGGCAAACCACCATAAATATCTGAGGCACTTAATGATACATTGAGGTGTTATGAAACAAAGAGATCAGCATAATATACAACAGTTAGTTTTTCATAATTTTATTTATAAAATGATACAATTACAAGCACTCATCCACTGTGGATTAAAGGTAAATATGGTTAGCTTCGTAAGATATTCATGTATCTTTTACAGTTATATTTATCTATTTATTTATTTATTTTGACTCAAATCGCCATAGTTTCAGCTAAAATCTGCAATCTTATCCAAGTGAAAAAAGATGTCATTGACATGTTAAATGTACCAATGGTGAGTAAATTTACCCATTTCATGTTTGGGTAACTGCATTTAAAAGAGATAGTTCAGCTAAAAATGTACAATTCCTCACCATTTACTCGCACTCAAGTGGCCCTAGACTTATTAATTTCCTTTTTTCTGTAAAACACAAAGATATTTTGAAGAATATTGGAAACTAGTAACCTTTAGTAGGAACGCAAATTCTGAAATCTTTTTCCAACATTCTTCAGTGTCTGTCTTTTGTGTTTTACAAAAGAAAGAAACTCAAGTTTGGAACAAGTAGAGGGGAATGCACTCAAACAAATGTGTTTGCTGTTTGTTTAAACTACTTTAAAATAAACAGAAACAACACAATTGTAGACTTTTTGGGGGGGACAACTGAATTAGTTTGTTCAATCCATTTAGATTTGTAAAATGTTTTAAGTTAACTTAATTCATTCATGTTGTCCCAACACAAATTGATTGTGTGCAAACCCTTTTTTACAGTGTAAATAAATAATGAGAGAATTCATTTTTGGGTGAACTATCTATGTTTTTTTCCATATACTACGTAGTAGCAGTTTTTGTCAAATTTTGATACCTGTTTTTCATTTTTTCCCCATTATTTTCCCCATTATTTTTTCTTTCTTTCTAGGAAACAGTAGATAAGTAGGTAATATTAAAACAGTTGTCTTCTTGCATCCAAACATTGGAGCCAGAGCACTTGTCATGTAGCATGATTTATTTTTTATTTGTTTTAGATGCACTTGCACTTTCATATCAGTGTTTTTATTCTGTACAGTGATGGATGTTTGGTGACTACCGGTTATGCTTTTTTTTCTACACTATGCACACTTTGCCATAGTTTTTCAGTTTCAAAACCTTCTGCTTTTCAGTTGTTGGTAAAGTAGGGGTAAAATCCAATTGTTGTTGGCCCACATAACCAGTGTGCATTTATTTCAAGAAAATATTTTGTTACTAATCCAATTTTAAAATAATACTCTAAAAATTCTGAACAGTTTCACTGTGAGCCCCCTACATTTTTATTTTTTATTTTTTGATTGCTTTCTAGTAGCTGTGATTGATTTGCTATTTTAATAGCATAACTGGTAAATCAATGGCCTTTCTACCATCCATATTTTTCTTTTTTTTTTTTTACTGTTGTGAATTATTTTTAATTTTCTGCCATTTATATACCTCTGAATCAGTGCCTTTGGTGGAAGATGTTTCTTAGAAGAAAAACAAGCAATAAAAGCTGAATAAGAGGGATTGTGTTTTGATTTCTGAATATTTCATTCACTCATTTTACTTCGGCTTAGTCTTTATTAATCAGAGGTTGCCACAGTGGAATGAACCGCCAACTTATCCAGCACATGTTTTACACAGTAAATGCCCTTTCATTTGCAACCCAATACTGGGAAATATCCAGACACCCTCATTTACACACATACACTCCGACCAATTTAGTTTACTTAATTCACCTATACCGCATGTCTTTGGACTGTGGGGGAAACCGGAGCACCCGGAGGAAACCCACGCAAACACAGAGAAAACATGCAAACTCCACACAGAAATGCCAACTGACCCAGCTGGGACTCGAACCAGCATCCTTCTTGCTGTAAGGTGACAATGCTAGCCACTGTGACACCCTCTCTTAAAATTCTTCCAGAAAAAAAATTCAAACCAAAGGGCTGCTTTGAGAAAAATATGCTAATCAAGCAGGGAATGTTCAATAATGGTGGTTAAAGGACACGGTATGCTTCTCCATTTTTCGATCTTATATTGAGTCCTGAATGAAGATCAGATTTACACAGGCTTTGTCTCTAGGGGGAGCAGTGACTCAAGATAAAAACTGATGAGGGAAATAACAGTGTGTATTGTTGCTCAGATTGATTTGTTCTCAGTATGTTTCAAAAACTGTTTACAACATGCAAGTCATTCTTCAGTCAGCAGTTCTTTGAACATATTAGTTTACTGTTATCATAAGACACTGCATAATGACCATAGTTTGGGCAGCCCCACAAGAGTTCTCAATGAAATGAGGATAAGATGGGGGATAACATAATTAAAATGGGTAATATCAATGGATTATATTTAAGTAGCCAAAGCTATTAAATACAGTTTTTTATACAGTGTAATTTTATACAATCTAAAATCAGACACTTTAAATCTGTATACGATTTTCAAAATTGCCCCTTTAAAATGGTGTTGAATAGTTTTAAGACAAATTTGATGAAATGTTTTGATCCACTTTAAATGTTGACTACTGTAGTCTGGTTTGTTCTACAGACTGAACAGACATTGCTCCAATACAATAAAACCCCGAATTGCTCTTTTGTCCTTCAGCTGACTTTTCCTCATGTGTAAGGTCAATGCCCTCACAACTTTCACTGTTGCGTGTAATGAGACACTGATTGGTGGGTGTTTCTGGTGACAAATAAGAGCATGAAGGCCGTCTGATTGACAGACTGAGACGTTTGCCCCGAGGTGCCCCTCTATTAGACTACACCAGCACTTAAACGTGGAGTAGTGCCTGGCTCTTTTTGCTGGTCGAGCGGATGTTGGGTTCACCGGTTGCCTGTCTGTTTGACATGTTTGGACAATACCTGCCCAGCCGCTAAGATAAGCACAGGTCAGACCCCTGTAGTGAAGTCACGAGGTTCCCAGAGCATTTACCAGCCACCTGTGAGAAGCTCTTGTGTTTTCATGGCAGCCCAAGTGAACACTAGCAGATCAAGTCAGCATCCACCATTGTGTCAGGATTAAGTAAAAACATCAATAAAAAATAATATATATATTTAAATCTGTCAATCAGTCGTTTATAGATGTTTGCAGCTAACTTTCTAGTGTTATTTTGAGGACTAGGTGAATGTGAGCATTGCATAGTAACTGTAAGGCCAGTGTTTGTTTTGCCTTTTTTTCAGTAATTGCATGACACATTTGACAAATTATGCCATATTCATAATTTTTAATGCAAACGATGTTGCAAGTATGAGCAAATAAAAATAAAATAACAGGGTGATCACTACTACAAATGGGTTTTCTAACCACATTTTACCCCATGAATGCACCACAATTAGGCTCTTGTTGTTTTTAAGACACTTGTCGTAAGGGCTTATTAGTCTTAAAGTTTGCCTTCCAATATTTATTCAATTTCTTGTTTCATTTAATTTTCACTTTAGCTAATAATAAAATCTGATTTGCATGTGCTGGTTTATTGTGTGCGTACTCGGTTTTGAGATAATGGAAAATTACTTAACCTAGTTTTTTTACTTAGAACAGCCTTCATTAAATACATACTGTTTAATTAAATCTAAACTCAATATATTTTCTGTTCTTAAATATAGCTAACAGTTTTGTAAACTTATTTTGGCTAATAAATCATTATACTTTTAAAAATTTAATTTGAATATATATAGGCCCATATTGGTATTGTTGTGCTTATACATGCATTGGTAAGGAAGATCCTCCTGTGAGGTTGGCGGGAAGGCGCGCGAGTTTTGTTGTGCTGCATCTCACCTGAGTTCACGCGCTGTTTCTTTATGACATCGATCAGCTCGCAATACAATACCTGTTTTTCTGTCCATTATCTGCTAATTGCCCAGCAGAAGCGTCCCCGTGTGCATTAAAATTACCGAAAATTATCTGTTGTGGTTGACTTGCATCTGCTCCAAGTCCTGCTCCCTTAGTCGATAAGATGCGCAAGGCGCGCACACATGCACACATCCCGCCGCCGTATTTATTACAATTTCCCTTTATTACAGCAGGATAAATTGTCAGGGGTTGAAGGCAGACACGAATCTTCTCAAATAAGATGATTGCTATTTGGGGCTGCTGAGTTGTTCCTTATCACTTTGACTTAGAACAAAAAAGGTGAAAATTGCACCCCGGGGAAAACAGCTTTGATTAAAAGGTGTGGGGCTGGTTATCACCCCACTTTTTTACACACCATAATCAGCTTTATTTCCTAAACTCCCGTTTCAGTGCAGCAGCTTCATATTTTAAACATGTCAAGCGTAGACTGATCGGATTTAAACAATATCTAATGATTTCCTAATTGTTGTTTAAACGTGCTTCATGCAAGAATGGGGAATCCACGTTTAGGCTATGAGTTTTGGCCTTTATAGATATGTCAAGTCAAAGCTATATGTTTTCTTGAGATGTACATTTTAACCGCAGTGGCATGATAACATTTTTTTGTTCAGATTTGTTTTTGTTTTTTATCACTAATGCGCTTTGAACAATTTTATTAGTATAGCCTTTAATTTCTAAATAATTAACTAAAGCTATAATTCCACAAAGTCTGGAAATAGGCTAAATGGCTCATTAAAATGCTAAAATTCATATTAATTTTATTTTTTTGTATTTATAAGTTAAAACATTAAATTGTTAAAATAATAATGTTAAAATAATTTGGTGTTATAAAATTGCTGTAGTAGCCTCGGTTATAGCAGTTTTGTATGAAATCTGTGGCCTTGCAATATGAAAATAAATCAGGCTAACAAAATCAATTATTCTATAGCCTATTTTTCTTTTTTTTCGAAACATATGATCAGCCTAACTTTTTTTTTTTTTGGTTGAATTTATTTGAACTATTCTAGGTTATAATATATATATATATATATTTTTTAATTCCCCTAATTTTTAATATGATCACGAATAACCGTCTGTAGCTAGAATCAGAAAGTCAGTTTATTAACAATAACAACACAAATTGTATAATAATAATAATTGTATTAATTCTAATAACAATATTATTATTATTATTATTATTATTATTATGATTGATTTGCTTTTTGGATGATCATGCAACCGTGTAGCTACCTTTTTAAATAACGATCAAAATTCGCTAACATGGTTTATGTTTACACCAGTTATTATCAAAGTTCTTTATTTAAACTCAATTTGCCATGGCTATTTAGTTATTTTTAATTCAGTGTAGGTTAACAGTGATATGTTGTTATGAAATATAAATATAAATATGCATGCTATTAGATATAGACTTTCTAACGTTATGAAAGTTATAACGAGAGAGCGCCCATTGGCTATACAGTACACATGTAATTCTACTAGTCGCCACTAGAGAGCTCTGTGTCGCAGTCATGCGCGCTCCTCCCTCGTTGGCTTCATTCCCGCGGTTCAAATCAGATAAGATACAACATGTTTGCAGTGACTACTCGTCTAATTTGTCGGTATGATAGCGCCATGTGTCTGGTTAGTTTAAAAAAAATGACGGCTAGGGCTGGATAATGAAATAACAGCACCCTTTATCGTCAGTTAAAAGAACAGTAGGCCTAAATTAAACTCTAAAGACTTTATTTACACTAAATACGACCTATTTTGGAGGACTTGCTGATGTAATGTAAGTGTAATAGGCTAATTCTGCATAAATTATTAACGTTACTTTTTTGTTTGTGATATGTTTGTAGCCTGTACGTTTTGTACACTAATGTACAACATGCTTAATTTTGCTTGTATTTTAATCTAGGTCCCACCTGCTTACATTATCCAAATGTCCTACATTTAGACAGACTGACAGTTTAGATGAGGTAGTGAATGAGTTGTTTCTGTCTCTTTGAAAAATGTGCTCAAGGTCTTCAGAAACTCCTTCATATGTCTTCGGTCGCCCAGAGATATGGTGAGTTATGGCATTTTTTGCATAGCTCTCATACAGGTGAAAACACGCAGAAGAGATTCAGTTTAGTTAATGGTACACCACCCCGAAGCAAAGTGTCCCTTGGAACAAAGACATAAATTATCATTTTAAATCTGCTTAAACTCTTTGACAAAGACAGACATAAGTATGACACCAAAAATAGACAAGATTAAATATCTGTGTGATAAATGATCACTGTATAAACTGCTGTATTTCCCTCATGGGTTTGAGGACACTGGTGTGCTCTTTAGAGATGGATCCCTAATGAGGTTGCATAGGTGCTCCTGGACTAATTACTTGCACTAGGATGTGTGTGTGTGTGTGTGTGTGTGTGTTTAGTAAAATTGCCACTGGGGGTCTTCCTTGTGAGATTTTTCTTATTTTTTATTGTTTGCTTGTTTTTGGAAGGCACGATAGATCACTGTTTTTAAAGTTAACAAAAGAACCTAATTTGAAGTTTGTTTGTTTTTTTATGAAAAAATAATAACAAAATTAGAGGAATTATTGGTATTGCCAATAGCAGGCCCGGCCCAGTAGTCATTGACAAAAGTCCAGAATTTGTCCCATACATGAGCTCAGTTGTCCAATTTTAACTTGTTATGCCATCATAAGT